GAGGCTCTCCCTGATGCTTGTGTCTTGGGGGGTGGGGGGTCTGCAGTCTGGCCAGAGTTCTAGGGGTACAGGATTTGTTTGAGGTGGGAGCCCAAGAGACAACAGGGCTTGGGCAACCAGGTGTTTCAGCCCTTCTGTGACTTTGGTAATCGGAATGTCAAAATTCGTGACACACAGCTTTCTAAAATACAAATTTAAGCAACTGCCGGGAGGGGGAAGGCTCAGAGGCTGGGCTCTGGATATGCTTCTGGGTAGGGCCTGCATCCGCATTGTGTAAAATTGCCTCACAGGCTGTAAAAGCTGAGGTCTTTCCTTCCCGCACAGTCTTGGCAAACACCACAGATTACAGCATCCTATTTACCCTACAGGGTGTGTGCACTGTACCTCCACTGGTTGAGATGGAGCCTGGGGGCTGGTTTCAGGTTCTTTTTTTAAAAGTTTTTTTTTTTTTAAAGCATTTATTTATTTGAAAGAGAAAAGGAGAGACAGAGGAAAAGTTCTTTCATTCTCTGGCTCATTCCTCAAGTGGTAAAAATGGCCAGTGCTGGGCCAGACTAAAGCCAGGAGCCCAGGAGCTTTTTTCGGGTCTCCCACATGGGTGCAGGGGCCCAAGGACTTGGGCCATCTTCTTCTGCTTCTTCCAGGCGCATAAGCAGGGAGCTGTATCAGAAGTAGAGCAGTCAGGATTTGAACCGGTGCCCATATGGGATGAGGGTGCTACAGGAGGTGGCTTAACCTGCTGCTCCACAGCATTGGCCCCTGGTTTCAGGTTCTGAGTCAAGTTTGTTACTGCTGACCTTTCTTGCAGTCTCCAGGGCCTTTGTAGCAGCCCCCAGTAACTGTGTGCCTGTGGTCCCAGGTCCACCCAGGTCCGTTCCCTAAACACAGACGGCCTTGTATAAAACCCAGACACAATTGCATCTGTCCCTCCTGAAGCCGCACCTGCTCTTCCCTCTGCCCCACTGGAAGCCGTGCAATCACCTGGCCTAGTGTCTGCCCACTCCCCTCTGTACCTCTCCCCTCTTCTCTCCTCACTCTTCTCACTCTCATGTCCACCCACGTCCAGGCCTTTGCACAGGTGGTGGCCTTCATGCTTATTCACAGATGCTTCCCAGCCTTGACCCCACTCAGACCCTCAGACTTCCAGGAAAACGCCCAGCTGGAGGCGCTGTTCCCACCTCAAAGTCCCACCAAGCGTCCCGCCTCCCTGTCCTTTGCTCTTCCACATTTGATTGGTTTGTGGATCTGTCTTGTCTCCCTTGTGGGCCTGAGAGCTCCTTGACAACAGGATGCAGCCGTTTCATCAGGGCAGCCCCTTGGAGCCCCACACGGTAATGCCAAGCATACAGCAAGTCTGAGGATTGCGGCTGCTTGAGAGCATGACCAAACAGATGAGGGAGTGGGTAAGTGAATTCACTTCTCTCCCAGACTCACCTGGAGCACGTTCAGAGCAGTCAAGGGTGCAGCTCAGGCCAGCTTCGCTCCTTCCTCACCCGTCTCAGAAAGGTGTCTGGAAGCTCAGGGCCCAGTGCTGATCCCAGGCTGGAGGGGAACTCCCTTTTGCAGCCCTTTGGGCAGGGGCAGTTATCTCCACCAGGCTGTCTCTAGTTCTTTAGTTACTAGGACGCTGGTGGAATCCTCTCCCCAGATTTATGCTTCCTGAGAAGACTCACTCCAGGGGCCGGCACTGTGGTGCAGTGGGTTAAAGCTGCCACCTGCAGTGCCGGTATCCCATATGGGCACCGGTTCGAGTCCTGGCTGCTTCTCTTCCAATACAGCTCTCTGCTATGGCCTGGGAAAGAAGTAGAAGATGGCCCAAGTCCTTGGGTCCCTGCACCCATGTGGGAGAACCGGAAGAAGCTCCTGGCTTTGGATTGGCACAGCTCTGGCCTTTGCAGCCATCTGGGGAGTGAACAGATGGAAGACCTCTCTCTCTGTCTCTACTGCTCTCTGTAACTCTGTCTTTCAAATAATAAATAAAATAAATCTTAAAAAAAAAAGACTCACTCCAGCACTTCTTACTTGGAGTGGGAAACTTCACCTTGACATTGATATTGTTACTCTCTCTCAGGAAAGAAGCCAGCTCCCCTCTCCTCACCAGAGGCAGTGTTTTTTGGAATGAGAAGGGTTAAGTCACTGTGACTCTCTCTGATGAGCCATGTTCAGAGAAAATCCCACAGAGCTCTGGGGAAGCGGCATTCTGCCAGACCTTCCCCAGGGGTTAGAAAAGTCTCCTCCACCCTGGCTGACTTAGCAGAGAGACGAGGCTAAAGGAAGAGTTCTTGGCACCTAGTAAGGCCTGTCTTCTCTGTTCAGTGGCTCTGCCTTCTGCCAGACTCCAGGTCGCCAGGCAGCTGGCACAGTCCTAAATGCTCAAAGCCACTCCACCTCCTACTCACCATACCTCCCTGAAGGGCCCCCCTTCTGCTCCAACCTCTGTCTTAAGCTCCCTAAGGCTCGAGGACCACCCTACCTTCATTTGTTCATCCCTAATGCTCACTGACAGCTTGTTCCATGCTGGGATCTGGGGATGTGGGAAAAAACCAGCCCTAAATCCTGCTCGGAGACAGACGGTCAGACGAGGAGCCAGCATTCAGTGTGTGAAGTGCAAGAGGAGAAGGCCCAGCGAGTCCGTGGGCCTGGAGGAGGGCAGGTGGCTGGGAATTCTGCATGGAATCAGTGACACTGGCTCTGAGCCTTGGTGGTCCCCAAGGGGTTTACCAGGAACATTGGAAGGCAAGGAGCGAGGCTGGAGGAAGCCTGTCTGTAATTCAGGGAGAGAATCCTGGAAAAGTGGACGGTGGACATGTGCGTGGAAGGATGAGGCATCCCATTTGTTCTGTGTCCTCCAAGGGGTGGGAGGGAGACTGGGGCCACGCCTGGCAGGCACAGGGAGGCAGGCTTTGGCTCAGGGTCGTGAAGAGCTCCCTAGGGGTCAGTGCCAAAGGAAGAGGCTCTTCTCTCCTGGAGGAATTCAGGCAGGCAGGTCTGCTTCAACCACTTGGCATGGGTGTTGGGAGAACTACTCAAGGGTGGGTGTGGCAATGGTGGGATTACATTGGTAGTTTTGAAAAAACAAATCTCTGTCTTCCATTTGAAACGTGCTGTGTGTGTGTGAGAATAACAGCAGAACTGGTCTGATTGAGCAAAGTGGAGGGAGGGCCTCTGCCTTCAGGGTTGCGGTTCTGTAGTGCTGGTCCAGAAGCCTTCCTTGTGTGTGTTTTCTCCCACCTCTCCTCCTAAGCCTTCCTTGTGTGTGTTTTCTCCCACCTCTCCTCCTTTCCCAGCATCTTCCCCTGACAAGGGCACGTGGAGCCCACGAGAAACTTCAGAACGCGCATACAGTCGTATGTGATGAGAGCCTGCTACGTATCAACCTGCTCTAGGCATCCAACGTGAGGCAGAGGGCAAGACAGTGGACATCGCCCTCTCAGAGGCAGAGTCCCGACGGCATCTGTGGCACGTGGTGATATGCAGGGTGGGCGGAGGGGAGGCAGGGAGCCCCCACCTTCCCTACAGAAAGCTCTAGTCCTGCAAAGTTTGTAGCAGAACCCAGGCCTTCCAGCCCCAGTCCGCTGCTCTCTCTTTGCACCGAGCTGCACTCAGCTGGGGATACGGGTGGGGGCTCCTCCCCGGATGCAGTTATGGAGTGGAAGGGCTGTTGGAACATGAGGGTCTGTAGCTGTGGGGTCCCCAGGGAGGCAGAGGCAGCCTGAGGAAAAGCTTTGAAACTCTGCACCCAGGCTCATGGCTTGGAACAGCACCGGAGCCCTTCAACCATAGAGGATGCCCCTGGGACCTTAGAACAAGAGGGTTGGGGACCTCCTCAGCCAGGCCGTGCAGGGGAAGAGCTCAAAGCGGGCCCCAAGGGCTCTACTCCCTCTCGCTCAGCCCAGGGGAAGGAACAGGGAGACCCAGCCAGTGGAGCAGATGGGATTCAGGTGCCTTTTCTCACTGTGCTGCTGTGACCAACTCTGTCCTCTGTGACCTTGGGTTACAAAGCTCTCCTCCCCATGCCTCGCTTTCCTCTCTCCCGTATAAAAGGGAGGACGTGACTGCTCGTCCTCATCGGTTGCCCTACATCCTCATTCTGGTCTTCCCTCTGCTGAGAGATGGGAGGCTGTGGTTCTGGAACCCACTCCCGCTGGGTGTGACCTGGAAAGGACCTCGTTCTGAGGGTGGAGAGATGGTCCCAGTGACAGGGGAGTGGGCACTCAGGTCTGCAGGCTGCGTGAGAGGCAGCAGCCCAGGGAAGCTGGAAGCAGAGGGCTGCTGGTGTTGCAGAGAGGAGCACACGCCCCTGCCGGCCTGAGCCCTGGGTTTCCACCAGGGACTGGAGGTGTCTCCATTGGCTCAAGGAGGTCAGCTGGCCCTCCAGGCATTAGTCAGAGCCTTTAGGCCCCAAAGGTCCACTGGACCCCGAGGACAACTCCTCATAGGAGTCCTGGAGCCTCTCGGCCAAACAGCAATGTCCGTGCCCAGGTCTTCTGCTGGGTGGGCGGGTGCCGTCAGCTTTCCACCGTGCCCTCGGCTGGGGCTGGGGCTGGCCCAAGGCTGAACTCCCACCTCCACCTGTGTGAGCAGCCAAGGTTAGGATGCTAGGTGTGGCAGGAGGGGGCAGCTATGAGCGTGTGGGTAAACACAGCCCGGTCTGTGCCCAGAGAGCTTTTGTAGAAGCTCCACTGTGCAGCGTTGCTAGGAGAGAGAGGGCTGTGTGGACAGAGGCCAGTGGAAGGGGTGGGCCGGGTGGGAGGTGGCTGGCATGCTGAGGGGGAATGGATATGCCACTTTCGTTTCTGTGTGACAAGGGCCTCTTTGGCAGGCTGGACGGGGTGGGTCCTGAGCTGGGGCAGGATGGGACCAGAGCAGCCGTTGGCCTGATGTCAGAGGTGAGCCCCAGACCCACTGTGGCTGCCTCTCATTTTGCTGTGACTGCATGAAGGGGCTGAACCCAGAACAGGCTGGCGCGGGGGTGGAAGAAGCACACGGAGCACTGGTGTGGAGGGAGGCTTTATTTTCCCCACCTGCAACCCCACAGCCAAGGCAGAGGCGCACAGCATTCCCTGTGGCCCTGGTGGGGCAGGCACAGGGCGACCTGGCCTCCTGATTAGTGGCTGTGGCCATGGCCATGGCCGTGACTATGCCCATGTCCATGGCCAGGACCACCCCCGCCAAGGCCTGGGCCGTGGCTGTGGCCCTCATGGTCATGGGGGGCATTCTTGTGCATCTCCTCGTGGGAGGCGTGGACCAGCCTTGCCATCAGGATGACGAACTCTTCAAAGCTCAGCTGCTTGTCCTGGTTCGTGTCCAGGTCCTCCATGATATCATTTATGGCTTTCTCATCCCTCGCCTCCTTCTGTGGGTTGGGGGGGGGGGAGAGAAAGCTGTTAGGGCTGGGTGTGGCCAGCGTTGGGGACTGCCGAGCACAGCAAATGCCCAGGGCTTGGTGTAAAAATCACAAACGACCAGGGACAAGGTGCCCACGGTGGACCAGACGCTTATTCCCAGACCCCGCTGGGGAGCCACAGTTCTCTCTGTTTCACTGAAGGGGAAACTGAGTCCCTGGTGCTGGCCCGGAGTCAGAACCAGACCCTTGCTGGTCCTTTTGAGCATGTCGTCTGGTAGAAGCAGTATCTTTCTGGAGGAAACGTGGCAAAGCTAAGGGGTTCCACACACGGCCGATCCAGGCCTGACTCAGGGCCCAGTCTCCTCCTGTCCCCTTCACTCCCTGCTTCCCGCAGAGCTCCCGGGATCCCACAGGGTGGGAGGCGCGTGGGGCAGAGGTGGACTCAGTGCGCACGCCCTGTTGACCCCAAAGGGAGACATCACGTGAGGCGGTGAGATCTGAGGCATCAGAGAAGAGAGCCTGGGCCAGCTCCCGGTGCAATGCAGGCCTGCAGGCTGTGCACCTGGGCCCGGTCCTCTCCCACACCCCACCCCCGGACACTCCCCAGCAGCCTGCCCTCAGGGGCCCAGCTCCTGCTGCCATTCTCCTCCTTCCCTAGGTGTGGGCGGGATCGTGGAGAGTGCTGGTGACCTCCCCAGGTTGTCTGGCTGCACACGGACCCGAGACTGGGACCCATGTGTCGCACCTTGTTTGATCAAGAACGCTGCTTCTCCAAGCTCAAACCAAACACAGAGGCCATAGGGGCAAACCCCCTTCTCGTAGGGATGCCCCGGCACTTTCAGATCAAGGGGAAAAGCTAGCAATGGAGGCCTTGCACCTGCTCTTAGGATTAGAAGTCCTGCCACGCATGCCCAGCTGCGCCTTGGGGGCTCCACAGCTTCCTGCCAAGCACCCGCCTCAGGGCTCCCCAGCGTTCAGGTCTGAGCTCCAGGGGGCACTCAAGTGGCCCCTTCTTGTCCATCCTGTCACCTCCACCCAGCCAGCCCCGATCACCCACAGTGCTCCCTGTCGTTGGCACTGGATGTCTCCGTGCTGCTTGTTGACCCCTTTGCTGGGCGTTCCCTTGCCCCTGCCTGGGCAGCACCGTCCCCCTGAGCTGGGGGCAGGGCAGGCGCACCGCTGACGCCCCTTCCCCCGTCTCCTGGCTCTGTGGGTGCCGTCTCCCCCTTGGCGACGGGCCCCGCGACCCCTTGGGGTGGCTTCGCCGCTGCGGCCGTGGACGCCAGCCTACCTTGAGGAAGTTGTGCAGCTCTTTCTGTACCAGCTGCTTGAATTCCTTCTGGCTCAGGCTGTCCCGCGGCCCCACCCGCACGGAGTACTGGTGGAAGACGTTGATGATGGTATCGATGCTGCGTTCCAGCTGCGACATCCCGCAGGACATTCCTGTACCCTGCCTGGTGGGGGAGAAGCCGGGGTTGGGGTGCTCAGAGGAGAAGGCTGTCCGGTGTCCCGGGAAAGAAGCGGGGAGAAGCCCACGATGAGGAGGAGAAAGCACACAGGTGAGAAATGATTTCTGGACTATCTGGAGAAAGCCAAAAAGCAAAGCACTGGAGGGCCGGAGGTGCCAGCAGAACACAGTCTAAGAAACCATGGAGGATTTAAGTGGGCAGGCAGGGTCAACCAAGGAGGGAGGGCTCCCAGGAGGAGGACTTGGAAGAAAGCAGGGTGGGGGCAGGAGAAAGGAGTCGGCAGGCCGGGTCCCGCTGGGGACACGGGCAGCTCGCTTACCAAAGCAGAGGAGCCCACAGATGTCTGACAGCCCGGGGTGGACCCAGCCTTTATAGACGGCTCCTGGCCTGCTCGCGGGAAGATTGCTTCAGAGGGGAACCGTGTGGAAACTCTGCCAGGAAGGGAACCGGGCGGGACAGGAAATGTTCACAGCGCTCCCCAGGCTTTTTGTGAAATTCCTAGCCCTGGCCTGGCGCAGGTGAGGGGGGAGCCGGCTGGTTAGTTCACTTCCCCTTCCCCCTGCCCTGTGCCACCTCCCTGCCCCCGAGAGCAAGCCAGCAGGCCACTCCCCCCTGCCCCGCCACTCCTGTCCCCACTGAGGGTGTGGGCGCCATGCCCTCCCCGGGACAGTCAGAGGCTGCTGCTGGGCTGGGGACCCTCGTGGGCAGCCCGCCCCTTCCATCCACTGAATGAGGGTGGACTGGCCCTTGCCCTGCACTGGAAGGCCTGTGATGAGCCCCATTGCAGGGGAGAGGCTGGGTGGGCTTTTTAGACTCCCAGGGCGGGAGAGAAGTTAGCAGTGTCCCCAGGGGTGTCCACCCCCTTGCGTTCTAGCGGAAGCAACTGAGGTCCAGAGAGAGAGGCCTGAGCAGGGTGATGCAGCAGGAGCTGGACCCAGGCGTCACGGCCCACTCAGGAGTGACTGGCTTCGCTCCCTCTTGCAGCCGGAGGGGGAGATGCTTCTAGCATCCCCTGCAACCAGCACAGGCGGCATGCCCGAGACGACACAGCTGTCACGCAGCCTCCCGGTGGGCAGCGCCTGTCTGTCCTCAGCCATGGGCCTCTGCTGCCTCCTCATGGCCCCCGGGAGAAGGCTGAGGGGACAGAGGCCAGCACACCAGGCCCCCGGGACAGCCCTGCCAGCCTGCTCCGCTTCCTGTCTGCTGTGGGCACACAGGGCCCACTTCCCACCTGGCTGCCCCAGCAGTGTCCCTCTCCCACCCACAGGGTGGAATCCTTTCCCCCTGCCCCCCTGCAGGCTCAGTGCAAGGCCACCTCCTCCAGGAAGCCTGCCATGTTCTTCCTGTTTGGAAACCTGGCCCCTCCCTGACGCTTGGGACTCCCCATGCCTGCTTTCCTGGAGCCAAGTGATTTGCATTTCTTGCCTTTGTCTAAGAACTGGCTGTAGTTGCTCCAGAGCTTCTGACTTGCGCTTGTGACCTCCCATGAGTGTAGCCAGGGTGTGGCACATGGGACAGTCTCGCATTTGCTGGACGATGGCGTGTCCAGGAAGCGCGCTTGGAGGGCCTGTTAGAGGCACCTTCCCGGGCTCTCTTGCTCGCGCCCTTCCGCTTCCGCCTCCTCCAGCCCTTCTGTCCCGTGTTCACGAAGCCTTCCCTCGATGCCAAGCCCCTCCTGACAGCTCTGCCATCTGCAAGCCCAACACAGCCCCTGTGTGTGCTCAGCCTTGCCCTGCGCGCACCCTGCCATGCGCCGCTGAGACGACCCGTGGAGTTGTGCTTTAGAGGTGGCTGTGGGACTTTAGGCGATTTACCCGGCTTCTCTGTGCCTCACTCTCCCTACCAGCCAAGCAGGGTGTGATCCCCCTGGGATGATTCTAGCAATGCCTGTGGAGTTGGGAAGAACTCAGTACACCAGAGGCATCCTTGTTAGTTACCTTTCCATTTATTCATGCAGCAGCATTGGTTGAGCACCTACTGTGTGCAAGACGCCAATGCTGGATATTGGGGGAATTCGGTGACTGAGACCCAACACGTGGGAGAGGCGTAATGCTAAATCCTGTCCTCCTGATCCCACTTTAAATCCATGGTAGGCGGGGTCAGGGGCTGCTGTGATGCCAGGCACACAGCATCTCATAAATGCTTGGAGAACGAATGACTGCTTGAATGAAAGAGCCAGTCATCTACGAATGAATGAACGGAGCCAACAGAGCCCAGGATTTCCTGAATGGAAACTTCAGGTCCCTTCCCTACCCAAGTCTGCCCCCATTCCTTGGGCTCACGGAGGAAGCGTGGACAACAGCTGGCTGTCAGCCCGCCCTCCGCAGGCCGTCAATGCATCTCTAGTTTTAGGCAATGCAGCAGGCACCCTGGGCGCCTTCCTGTGTTCTCCTGCAGAGACTTTCAGCCCGGAACAAGGATCTCCCACACCTGCTTGCAGGGACAAGGCACAGAATGAAGCTGGCTGAGCGTGAGGATATCAACAGCCACCAGAGGCCAACCGACGTGGGGTCCCTGGGGCTGGAGACACCTGGGAGTGGTGGAGACTGTGGCGCGTGGGTTTGCTCCTGACTTGAAGTGATCGGCAGAAGTCTCCCGACCTCAGCGTAAGGCTGTTGCAGATCCCTCAAAGGTCCAGGCGATCTGAATTTTTAAGTGGACAATCCAATTTGTAAAAATTTGTCAACTGACTTTAGAGAATAAATGAGGACAGTAACAATGAAGCAGGGGGCGTGGCAAGCAAAGCCGGCTGCATGCAGACAGCGGGCAGCCGCTGTTCTGCTGGGAAGTCCTGGCCTCTCTCGGGGCTGTCTCCTCCCTTCCACCGCAGCTCCTCCAGGCAGGGGCACTGCCCAACTCACCCCTGGAGTCCTGGCACCAAGCAAGGGCCGGGCTCGGCGGTGCCAGGCTGTTGAATGAGTCAGTGCAGACGCATGGGCATCTATGAGGAAATGATGGGTGTCACGCACAGGCTGCCCTCTGCGCTTCTGCTGAGCCCTGGCTGCAACCCGTTCAGGACGGGAGTAGAATAGGGGGGAGGGGAAGAAGGCTCTGCAGCTGGTGGCAGGTGAGCCAGGCTTGGCACAGGAGCCCGCACCTCGGGCCGCCACGCTGACAACAGGCCCTCATCCCAGAAGGCCACAGGGGAGCTGTCCAGGTGCTGGCCCAAGCAGGTGGCCCTTGGCTTAGTCAGTAGGTGCCCAAGCCCCGACTGCCTCCTCACAGCCAGCTGAGGCCAGAGGCTGGCCCGAGGCTGGTAGGGGGTGGTGGCAGGGGAGTCTTCTCTTCAGGACACTGATTTTCTCAGGGGAAACTCAGAGCCTCCTGCTAGGGCACGGATCAGGCCAGCCGCCAGGCTGTGGACGGTGACTCTAGGGGTTGTCACTGGGAGAAATGGGTGTGCCGTCCACTGCTGGGTTAGCAGGGAGGAAGTGGACAAGAGGCAGGGGCTCCTGCAGCCACAGGGAAATGTGGGTCTCCCCTCCTCTCAATAGCCCTCCTATGCGAACCACACAGGAGTGTCACAGCAGGTGCACAGGACCCCGGGTGGAAGCGCACGGTGGACCAAGGGCCTGAGATGGGACCTAGTCTCAGGGTGCCTCCTCTGTCCTATCATTAAACCAGGGGGTTGGGTCAGTTGGCCTTTACCCCATTTCTAGCCCTGACTCCAGTCTCGGTGGACTCTCAGTGGGCCAGGTCCCCTCTTCATGATGCCTGGGTGGGTGGGGGGGACAGTCTGCCTCCTCTTCCTTCACCCCCGCCCTTCCTCCTTGCTGGGACTCCCAGGTGCTCCTCCACGGAGCTTTCTGGAGCTGAGCCTCCTGGTGCCAGCCCCTGGTGTGCGCCACCCCCACTGCTCATTCTGGACCTCTGGTGCGTGAGGATGGCTCGGAGCAGCTGCCTTTGGACTCAGCACACACCAAGCTCGACCACCCCTTGCGTCTTTGTGGCTGCCGCCGGCTGGCCATCTGGGGGTCTCTGAGCCACCCTGCTCACGGCAGCCCCGTTCCCTGCACCGTGCTTGCTGCTCCAGCATCCACAGTGAGGCCCCCAGCACCGGGCTTCTGACATCCTCAGCCTGCAACTCTCCGGCCGGAGCACCTCCCCTGGACTCTGCCTCAGCAGCTGCTGGGAAGCGCTGCCTTCCAAACCAGGAGTGCTGGTCCGCCCTGTCCTGGCCCCGGGCTTCTGTCTTTCCAGTTATTCCTCCGCTGCCATCTCTTGTTGAATCTGGGTTTTGTGCTCATTATGCCCGCCTGAAGGTTCCGGATCCCTCTGGGTATCCTGCTGTTGACTCCCCAGGCTGCGCAGGATTCCCTTTGAAGTACACAGGGCTTTGTAGAAAATAAAGGGTTTCCACAAACACTGCCGGGCTGGCCTTGTAATTGCCGGCCCTTGAGTCTGTCTCCTTCGCTAGACTACTAAACACTTTGCTCATCCCTGGACGACGAGCTCCGAGTATGAGAGGCATCTGATAAACGCTGGCAAAATAAAAAGACTGACTTGTTTCTGATATATCTTATGTTTGCAAGACTGTTATTTCCTGTAATTAGGAAGTTGTGCAACTCCGGAGAACGCAGAGAAAAGGAAGTAGGGAGGAGTGATGGGAGACCCCTGTGGGTGAGAGGCGGCTCAGGATTGTCAAAGGCGCGTGCTGCCACCTGGTGGCCCACCTGCATTAGGACAGCCTGTGGCGTCCCTGCGGTCCCAGAATTTCAACCTTTTTGTTGTCAGGACCCTATTATACGTGTAGAAATTATGGATGCCGGCGCCGCGGCTCACTAGGCTAATCCTCTGCCTTGCGGCGCCGGCACAACGGGTTCTAGTCCCGGTCGGGGCACCGGATTCTGTCCAGATTGCCCCTCTTCCAGGCCAGCTCTCTGCTGTGGCCAGGGAGTACAGTGGAGGATGGCCCAAGTGCTTGGGCCCTGCACCCCATGGGAGACCAGGAGAAGTACCTGGCTCCTGCCATCGGATCAGCGCGGCCATTGGAGGGTGAACCAACGGCAAAGGAAGACCTTTCTTTCTGTCTCTCTCTCTCATTGTCCACTCTGCCTGTCAAAAAAAAAAAAAAAAAAAAAGAAAGAAATTATGGACTACTCCAGAGGGCTTTTACAGGTTGTATCTATCCATATTTACAATATTTGAAATTAAAACATTTAAAATATTTGTTAACTCACTTAAAATAACATTAATAAATTAATATTAGCACATTCAAAAGATTTATTAAATTTATTTGAAAGGCAGTACGGGGGCGGGGGAGGGAAGGAAGGAGGGAGAGACACTTCATCCCCAGGCTCACTCTCCAAATGCAAAAACAGCCAGGACTGGGACAGGCTGAATCC